AACAATGATAATACTGGAACCTTACTTGTGACTCATGTTTTAGATGCTAATAACTATCACTCATGGGCCCGATCAATGAAGAGAGCGTTACGAATCAAAAACAAGTTAGGATTCGTTGATGGCAGTTTGAATGAACCTGCAGACCCAAATGACCCCCTCATGGAACATTGGCTTCGTTGCAACGACCTGGTAATTACTTGGATGCAGAACACAATGGTAGCCGACATCAAACATAGCACCACATATGCTGAGACAGCACACCAGCTATGGCTTGAATTGGAGCAGCGTTTTGCTCAGCAAAATGCACCTCGAATCTTCGAAATCAAACAGGCTATAACCATGTTGCTACAGAATCAAGACCCTGTAAGTGTCTATTTTTCAAAATTCAAAGCTCTTCTGGATGAACTGATAAATTATGAAGTTGTGCCTAATTGTAATTGTGGAGGTTTAAGAATTGTGGTTCAGAATCAGCAAAGGGACTGGGTAATGAAATTTTTGATGGGTTTGAATGATTCATATAAGGGGATTAAGGCACAGGTCCTGCTGATTAAACCTTTTCCCAGCCTCAATGAAGTCTATTCATTGATACAACAAGAGGAGAAGAGAAGGGAGATATCGACAGGAGAGTCCTCATATGAATCTATGGCACTTCTTACAAGGGGAAGTTTTAAGGAAAAGGGAAGACAAAGCAACTATACACAGAAGAAAGATAGATACTATTGCACCTTTTGTAAGATTGCAGGCCATTCAATTGAGAGATGTTTCAAAGCAAACCCAGACAAACCAGTTTGTACTTACTGTCAAGTTCCTGGCCATCAGATGGACAAATGTTTCAAACTCCATGGCTATCCCCCAAGTCACAAATTCAATGGAAAGGCGTCTGCAAATCAAGCTAGTGCGTCTCTGTCATCTACACAGGGGGTTGGAGATAACAAGTCTCAGGTGCCTCTAAGCCAAGAGCAGATTTCACAACTCATGGCAATCCTAAAGCCACTCACTAACTCACAAAACCAAAACCAAAGTGTTATTGCCTCCACCTCCACTGATGAAAATATTCATCAACTCTCTGGTATATCTCTATGTACCTCTGTTCTGAAATCAAAACCTCTTAGCACGTTGGATGTCCCCTGGATACTTGATACTGGAGCGACAGATCATATGATCTGCTCTACTTCCTTTTTCTCATCCATTCCCACTGAGGTTGCATACTCAATCACACTACCAAATGGTAACACTGTCCCTGTTACTCACATAGGGACAGTAAAAATCACAAACACCTTGATACTCCAAGATGTTCTTTGTGTACCTAGCTTCTCTTTTAATTTAATTTCTGCCAGAAAATTGACACAGATGCTTAAATGTTGCCTAATTTTCTTCTCTCATTGTTGCTATATTCAGGACCTTTCAGCTTGGAAAACGATTGGCATGGGTGAAGTGAAGGATAGGTTGTACCATATGAAGCTTAAAGATGTTCCCCCTTCAGCTCTATCAGTTTACTTGAATAAACTATACAGTCAGATTCACAATTCTGTCTCAGCTTCAGCAACCTCTAATATCCAAGTTTTTGATGTTTGGCATTACAGATTAGGACACACCTCTTATTCTATCAATGAAATTGATGGTGATGTTCAATTTTCAAAATCTTCCAGTAACAAAGTTTGTTCCATATGCCCTTTGTCCAAGTTACACAAATTACCCTTTCCTGTAAGCACTCACAAAACTGAGAAGTGTTTTGAATTGATACATTGCGACATTTGGGGTCCTTGCAATGAGATTGGAAGTGACGGTTCTAGATATTTCTTAACCATCGTAGATGATTTTAGTAGATGTACCTGGGCATACACTTTAAAGCTAAAATCTGATGCGACCACTGCCCTTCAAAATTTTTGCATTATGGTTGAAACACAATTCGAAACTAAGGTTAAGATAATTAGGACAGATAATGGTGGAGAGTTTAACATGAAAGAATTCTATCTTAAAAGGGGCATCATACATCACAAAACTTGCGTTGAAACGCCCCAACAAAATGCTATAGTAGAGAGGAAACATCAACATATTCTCAATATAGCCAGGGCATTACGGTTTCAAAGTGGGATTTCATTGAAATATTGGAACCATTGTGTTTTAACTGCCGTATATCTCATAAATAGGACTCCCTCATCCATACTAAACAACAAAAGTCCCTACCACATTTTGTTCAACAAAAAACCATCCTATAAACATCTCAAGGTTTTTGGTTGCTTAGCTTATGCTACCACTATTGTCAATGGAAGACATAAATTCGATCCTAGAGCCAAAAGGAGTGTATTCATAGGCTATCCCTTTGGGACCAAGGGATATACTCTTTTAGATCTTGAAACCAAGAAAATTTTTATTTCCAGGAATGTAGTGTTTTATGAAAATCTATTTCCCTTCAAGGATGACTTTATGAAGGAAAATCAAAACAATATCAATATCAGTCAAGAACCTGTAAATCACACAATTCCAAACTCCAATCATAGCTTTGAATTACCAGAAAGAAACTCTCAAACCGTTCCTGATGGAAAATTGCCAGAAATAGACTTACAAATTATCCAGCCTGAAGAAGAATTCTCACTAAATCCTAGTCAGGATGAATCTCAAAACGAAACTGATACTGAACATTTACAGTCCAATAACTCTGACCCCTCATCAAATTCCACTCCTGTCACTCATTTGCCAAACTCAAACTTACCTCGCAGATCAGAAAGAGTCAGGAAAACACCTGTGCATCTTCAGGATTTCATATGTCATCAAGCTACCACACTTCACTCACCCCAAGGGTTAGACAAGCTGAAGGAACAAAAATCTCCAGGTAATCACTATCCTCTAAATGCTTATGTTACTTATGAGAAGTTATCGAATTCACATAAAGCTTTTATTACCTCTGTCACCTCTCATTCTGAACCTAAAAACTACCAAGAAGCCAAAAACTCCCCTGATTGGTGTGCAGCCATGAGAGCTGAAATTGAAGCCCTTGAGCTTAATGACACCTGGGATTTGGTTGATCTACCCCATGGAAAAGAAGCAATAGGTTGTAGATGGGTATACAAAGTCAAATTCAATGCCGATGGTAGCATAGAAAGGTTCAAGGCAAGGCTTGTTGCGAAGGGGTATACACAACAAGAAGGGCTTGATTATCACGAGACCTTCTCACCTGTTGCCAAACTCGTCACAGTTAGAACTTTGCTGGCAGTAGCAACCATAAGAGGATGGCACCTTTTCCAATTCGATGTCAATAACGCTTTTCTACATGGTGAGTTGGAGGAAGAAGTGTACATGGATGTTCCTCCCGGATACTTTAAAAATGAGACCAAGCAAAAGGTTTGTAAACTCAAAAGGAGCCTGTATGGTTTGAAGCAAGCGTCACGCCAATGGTATGCTAAACTCTCAAAATTCATTGTTGATCAAGGATATGTGCAATCAAGGGCAGATTACAGTTTATTTACTAAGAGTAATGGTGATTCTTTCACTGCTATCCTAGTGTATGTTGACGATATAATTGTGGCTGGAAATTGCACTTATATGATTGATCACCTTAAAGCCATTTTTCATGATAAATTTAGGATCAAGGATCTTGGTAAATTAAAATACTTCCTTGGTATAGAAGTGGCCAGGACTACAGAGGGTACTTTTATATGCCAAAGAAAGTATGCTCTTGATATTTTAAGTGATTCGGGAACGATTGGATCAGCACCTGCGAAGATACCGTTGGACCAAAATGTGAAGTTGATGAAAGATCAGGGAGAGCTGCTTCCAGAACCAGCACTTTACAGGAGATTGGTTGGGAGATTATTGTATCTAACAATAACCAGACCGGATATCTCTTACTCAGTCCAGATGTTGAGTCAATTTATGGAGAGCCCTCGAATTCCACATTTGCATGCAGCACACAAAGTCTTGAGGTATATCAAAAGAGCTCCAGGTCAAGGAATGTTTTATCCAACAGATTCAATATTACAGCTGCATGGATATAGTGATTCGGACTGGGGAGCTTGTCCTAATACCAGACGATCAGTCACCGGATATTGTGTATTAATTGGAAAGTCATTGGTGTCTTGGAAATCAAAGAAGCAACATGTTGTTTCAAGGTCATCTTCAGAAGCAGAATATAGAGCTATGGCAAGTTTATGTTGTGAATTAACATGGCTTAGGTACTTATTTGAAGATTTGAAGGTAGATCATCCCCAGGCAGCTTTTGTGTACTGTGATAATATGTCAGCTATCCACATAGCTACCAACCCGGTTTTTCACGAGAGAACCAAACATATAGAACTAGATTGCCACTTGATCCGTGATAAGATTCAAGATGGATACATTGTCACCAAACATGTTCCTAGCAGGTTACAAGTTGCAGATATTCTAACCAAAGCATTAAATTCTCAAAATTTCTACTTGTGCATGTTCAAGATGGGACTAATGGACATATATTCTCCATCTTGCGGGAGGCTATTGAGAACTGATGAAATTATTAAATTGGAGAATCAAACAGCTCAGCAAATACAGTCAGCCATGGAGGACACATCAGCAACAAGAAACAATTCAGCAGCAACGGAATTGGAATCATCTAGAAGAAGAGAAAGTGGAATTTTGTATTAGTTAGAAGTTTGTTATATATTCTGTTATGTATTGCTCTGTATGTATTCTCTTCTAGAATAGCCCATAGCATTTTATATATACCACAACAACTCTGTACAGATTAATTCATTGTGAAGAATTCAATACATTTTCTGATTCATTCACTTTCAATTATCAAAGTTTATCATCCTGTCATTTGATCTTTATATTCTCGAAAATGTTACGCCTTCGCTTCCCTAAATAGAGTCAATATTTGAATAATGAAATATCTATCGATATTCGATACTAAGGATGTAAAGTATCTATCGTCTCTATGCAAATTCAATTTCTATATAGTAATGTGTTAACAGGGCATTTTACAAGTACAAAATGGACCAAAGAGGAAAGGTGAATCAAAAATGTTATCAGAACGAGAGAAGACACAAGATTACACAACACAATAGGAAGAAACAAACTCTACTGAGTGATCTTTCAATCTGCATCATATGCCTTCTTAACCTAGGACTGCTACTACCCACTAGACGATACGAGTTTGGATATGTATAAAGAGTTGCCTCTGAATTCCCAAAAATCCTTGCACAAACCATTTCACCAAACATCTTGATCATTGGATCAATCAAATTTGTTGCTGTCCCGCCAATGCCGAGCATGGATGAACCCATATAGTTGCCAGAGTAAGTGTAATATGGCTGAGACGATTGTACATAACTTCGTTGATGAAGTTGGGGTGAATGACCCGAGTTTGCTGTCGGTATTAGTGCATCACCGCCAAATCCAGGACTGAGAGGCCTTTTTGGTATGAGTTTACCAAGCTCTGAAACCTTGTCGTTGGAGGGATTTGTAGTTTGGCCACGGCCGTAGAGTGGGATTAAGGTTTTCTCCGACACCTCTGTTTTGCAGACAGGACACTGTGGATGCTTTTGATCCGGGTTTTCTAACGGGAAAGTAATCCATCGGTATATACACGGCCAGCAATAGAGGTGGCCACAGAATGTAACCACGGGGTCTTTCACAAGGTCCAGACAGATGTTACATTCAAAATCACAAGAAGGAGACTCATCGACTGAAGAGGATAAGGATTTCCGTTTCGCCAAGGAAGATCCATCACTTTCTATTGCTGCCCCTTGGAAATACTGTTCTGTCGCCATATGGTGAGAATCCAGTCCAAACAATCTGTCATGAAAGAAAATATAAAAGTTCATATTAAATACAAGCTCCCATTCAATCGACTCCTCAAAAAACTCAGGACGAAAAAATAAAATAAAATCGAAAGACTATATCAGGTCATTTTCCAAACTACTGTACGTGAATAATACAAGGGTACAAGCTGCCATCAAATTCTCAAGTGGACCATCTTAAAGTAATAATAAACACTTCTGTCCATAGCTTTTCTTCTTCCTTCCCCACACATTATACTTGTATATACAAAGGAAAATAACGAAGAAATTAGAAGGGTAGGTGAGAAATCTGTTGATTATAGCTTTTGCAGCAACAAAAGCATCCATCAATTCCACCATAATTTTAGCCATTAATTCCAAACTGCCTCCTCCCATCTACCCTACTAGTTTGAATTTAAATCGAAGAATACCAAATAATTTCGTGCACATTGTCAACCGCAACAACCAATCAAACCCCAAATATCAATTGGTTGAACTATAAACAAATATTTGTTCTAAATATGAATAATATATATATTGGCCAAAAAAAAGAAAAGGGAAAAAAGTGTTCTACCATTTGGATGAAATTAAGGTAAAAAGATCAAATCTTTAATTGTTAGTAACTTTTGGTGTTCTACAATTATCCAATTCTTTTTTTTTTCACACAGTACAAAAAAAAAAAGGAAAACAAAATTAAAACACTTCACATACATCAAAACCCATCATGATTAAGAGTTGAGACAGTGAAATAACATCATATATCAGAAAGATGGAGACTAATTCATACCAAGCTACGAAGAGGGCCTTCTTGAAACGATACAAATGTGAGAAATGTAATGGCTTCTTTTCAGTGTGAACAGCGAGAAATTCAGCGTTTTTAATGCCAAGAAAGAGTACAGCGTCGGGATGAAGCTTGAGAATGCGTGTGTATGGTCTAAAGATTGAAGGGGTCCGCTTCTGCTTTTGCGCTTATATATACAGCAGAAAGTGTGAGTAACGCCAGGGGCAATACATACAATTTCAAGGTCTGTATAATCTTTGTTGATTCCCGATAAATACGTGACGTAGTCCAAACGGCGGTTTAGCCCCTCTTTCACAATTTTCTTTTTCTCTTGTTTTGACCCAAATTGGTAATATTTTCATTTTGGATTTTTGGGAAATAAAACTTGTTTTCGTTAAATTTTTCAAAAAACATTAGTCATTCAAAATCTACCTAGTATCTCCATCAATATTGAACTTTAAATGGGCACGTAACATTCACTTGATATTAAAAATTGAAAGGGTAAAATCATTCAGAAATATTTTCTCTATCATCAAACAACCAGAATGGTGACTTCAACTTTCATTTAATAATCCAAATAAGATCGAATTCATAAATATTCATGAACATGTACCCCCTTACGTCAAATCATCCCCAACATCGCGTGACTATAGTATGATTATTTAATGTTGAAATAAGTTTATGTGTGTTATTTGGGATATGGTGACACAATTTTAAAATGTTGAAGATATACGTTCAACAAATAATAGCCCATGTTTGGTGCACATTTTTTAGCCAAGAATGCATTTTTTTTTTAATTTTAATAAAGAATGTGTAGTTAAAAATGAATAAAAGAATGAGAATAAAAAAAAAATATGGCTCAAACAGGGGCATAGTTGTTGATGAAATTCACCCTAATTATAATGAAAACAGTTGTTGATTTTGATAGTTGTTGATTACATGTATAATTGATAAAAGGACAATTCCACTTGTACATCTATAACAACAGGGTTCAGTCATCGCTCGCTCTAGGCGTCCATAGGGTACTTTATTCGCTCAATATCTGGACGTTCTGCAAGCTTGGACGACGGCGTTCCTTTGCTTGTGAGCTTTTACATTCTTCAATAATACCATTTACTTAGGCTTTCATCTTGGATTCCCAATTGGGTTTTGCTCTTTGAGCCATTTACTTTGAGCTGCACTATTAGTGTGTCAACAGCTTGAAACCTTGTCCAATGATGTGCAACAAAAAGTATAAATGAAAAGGCAAAATAATATCGCTCTTAAACTTTATATCCATTATTTAAACTTTAAACGCAAAAAAGTATTCCCATCATTTGCTAGGTCTCTCTGTAGCTATATCTTGTCCAATACGAGTAAAAAGTAAGTGATGTTACCAATATACATTCTCCCATTTTCAACGACTTTCATGCAAGTTGTAGAATGCATAACAAAGAAGAAAGGACAATTCCACTTGTACATCAAAATTTGTATATCAAGGGATACATTTCTCTCACATGAGAGGTGGACCCATTGAAATAATGTTTTTTTAAACTGGTTACAATTTTAAACTATAAAAGTCACACTCGAGTGAGTAATATAACACTAATTTTGTGCAATATTATCAAGTAATACCTCACAAAAGATTCATCTATAAATCCATCGTGCATCTATCGAATATAAACTAATGAAAATGACGAAAGCCACAAATAACTGTTAATCATGAAAAATAAGTAATTTGTTTTTACCATATAGAAAAAGCAATATTTCATTTAAGTATCTTGGCATTCTAGACACTAATTAAATAAGGTAAATTTTTTGAATAACACCAGAAGGTTCCTAAGCAAAGAGCCGCAGTCTTATTTTCTATTGTCAGTAAGACATGAAGAAAAAGAAGAAGATAAAACCACCTTATCACCCCTTCTAGAAATTGTGACGCCCAGTGTTTATTTTTCAAATTTGTGGACTACCACACCACATCACAATCTATCTGTCTGTCCTTTTTTTTTCTTTTTTTTTTGGAGAGATTTTATAAAATCATTTCTCCTCAAAATTATTTTCAACCATGCGTTTATAATTTTCCTTACTACTCCAAACAAACATATTTTCACTTGAAAAAATCAAGTGAAAAATTGTTTGTGTGAAGGCTTGGCATTTCTAAGAGAGGAAAAAACTTAGGATGAATTCGATCATGTCACACGATGAAAAGGTGAAGCTTCAACATGTGCTGCAAATGAAAGAGAGAGATGAAAAAAACTACAAGTACAAAAACCTAAAAATCGTCTTCAGTGAGGGCCAAGCAACACTACATCCTAACTTGACCAACAGAGTGAAAACATTCACTACAAAAAATTTATGATTTCCTTACAAATTTTTGGGAAACAAATTGAGATTTGTAAGAGGAATCCACTTTTCCCCCACAAAAATGACGTTTCGTAGGGTTATAATTTGTTTCAAAATTTTCAATAGTTGAAGGACTTCATGAAAAAATGTAGTTTTCCCAACAAAAATATTTGACAGCCAAGATATATCTTTTGCCCAAAAAAAATATTTGACCTCTTTGTAGGCTAATAATTAGCAGAATTTCTTTTCTTTTTACCATTTGTATTTTAAATCCCTACAATTACATATTTGAAGTGAAAAGTTAATTGAAAATCAAAGGAAAAAAAATTATTTTTTGTTAACAAAATCCAAATACAACAGAGATACCCCTTTGGAGCCACAGCTTCCCAAAGAAACCCATTTGAAGGTGATATCCATAGATGATTCTGAGGCTAGACTTAATATCATGATATCCGTTCTAGGTGCGAAGCCCGAATGTCAAATTCGCGAGTTAGGAAATGATCGCCTATGAGACATTGGGACATCTTCTTCCAATGTACGCAGTATGGAGATGCTGCTTGAAAGGTAGAATATGCCGCTTGAGTAAAGATGGAGAAAATGATGCAAAACAAGCTGAAAGTTGTTGAGCAAAGCAATCTTGGTATCATTCTATGCACTAGCTATGTGGTAAAGTTCTTGACTTTGTTGTGCCATCATTTACACCATTGTTGATATAGGATGGAGTTGACGGTCTACCACATGGGCCATTTGTTATTCAAAGCATGCTCTGCATCTACCACATGGAACTGCTGACTCACATGTCCACCACCATGAAAACGTCGAACCCCAGCAGGCCGTCAACCCCTTGAGGACGTCGACCTCCATGCGACCCCCAACACTCACATAGGTCGTCCACCGTGATGAGTTCAATGACACACTTAACCACACCAAAGACAACGAGCTGGACGAAAACCACCTAACGGCGAATATGGGCATAACCAACCGCTTGACAAGTGGGAGTCACAACTCCAGAACGTGGGGAAAGTGGGGGGGTCTACGTGGGACACGTGGCACCAGCAACCGCTGAACATATACGTAGCAATAGGTGCCTATAAATACCTCCAATGTGAGAAGGGTAGCTTCTTCTTGAAACTGAACTATTTGAATTCCAATATATTATCTTCCTACTCTCTTAAACGATATACTAATTCTTACGCCGAAGGTACAACGGGGGAGAAAGTCCCGACCTCATTTTGCAGGTAGCAAACACTAATCGGAGCAGCCAGAACACCATTCACGTCAGGGAGAACACGGAATTCACCTCACAACTATTTCAATGGTCAATAGAGAATAATGCTAATGAGGAAGATGATGCTATTGAGGTCCAAGAGAAAAAACTTTGGTGAGGATCATTTGCATATCTAATTCATGAGGATGAAGAATTATGTTTTCTAGGTGCATAATAATAGATACAGATGATATTTACTATATTATTTTTAAGTCCAATTGTAACCATACTCAGTGAATGGTTTTTATTTGTGTTTTTGTGAAATATTTTGGATTCTATATTACATTGATTGGCACTACATGTCTTAATTAATTTTTTTTATCTTTATATTATTTTGATATATGGTTAAAAAATTACTATAACTTAAAAATAAGCCCCTGTTTGGTACCCATTTTTTTCTCATTCTCATTCTCATTCTTTTTCTCATTCTTATTTTTAACCACACATTCTATCAATAAAATAATATTACACATAAACCTAAAAATTCTCCTTACTTTTTAACCACACATTCATCCATCAATCACTATTCAAAAACTCATTTTTCTACTAAAATGGGTGTCAAACACCCCCTAAATAAGATATGTAAATATAATTTTATTTCTCCTCACGAATTCTTTTATAATAGCCTACACGTGCTTTCTCCCTATGAAAAGTTGTTTGTAGAGAAAAACAGGGTTTAACCTACAAAATAATTCATACCATGTTGTCACAAATTTTTAATTATTGAGAAAGTAAATATATTTTAGCCCACAAATACTATTTCCCCACACAATTTTTTTTTTTGTAGGAAAAAGCAAGATTTAGCCTACAACATAATTCGTAGGGAAAAACGATATCGTTTCATGGACAAAATTAACTTAAGCACACGTCAAGGGAAAACTTACGTGACGTATTGTATTTGTCTACAAAAGGTTCATAGGGAATAACTTTTGCCCACAAATTTCAAAATTTTGTAGGCTAAAGTCTATCCCCGGTTCACCACCCTCCTCTAGTAGCCATTCCTCGTAGTCTCTACTATAGAATCTGCAAAAGAAGAAGAAAGAGAAAATCGAAGTCTACAAGGTATATTTGATCTACCCACTTATAACGTTAATGTACAACTATTAGAACGTTTTCAACTTTTTTGAAATAGATCTAAAAAAAAGTGAATAATTTTGTTTTTGTAATTGTAAGATGAGATTTCATGTTTAAAAAAAAGTTTCATATTTGAACAATGTTGTTTGCTAGCGTTCACCTAAACAAATTATATGGAAAAATAATGCTATTTAACATCATTAATTCTACAACAATTTAGGTAACACAAAATGATATAAACTCAATTAAAGGTGGATTATGTGACCTAGTGATATTGTAACACTTATGATACTAAATAACATTATTCTATTTAGAAACAAAGGCAAAAACCAAAAAGAAAGTAAAGTTGGTCTTTCTTTCGATCCCCCTAAGCTTATGAAGTACTTGAAAGTATTTAGCCAAACATGCTACAATTTTTGCACGACATTAAAAGAATATTTCTGAATGCTAGCAATTAGATTGGTCTTGGGAAATGGACCAATCCTTCTTCAGACCATGGATAAGAATAAATAGGCCCTGTTTGGGAGGGATTTAATTTTTCTACAGTAAATCAATTCTCATTTTCAACCATACATTCTTCAATAAAGTAATATTTTCCATCACATCAATAATTTTTTCTTCTTTTTCAACCACACATTTCCTATCATATCACTATTCAAAATCAATGTCAATAGAGAATAATGCTAATGAGGAAGATGATGCTATTGAGGTCCAAGAGAAAAAACTTTGGTGAGGATCATTTGCATATCTAATTCATGAGGATGAAGAATTATGTTTTCTAGGTGCATAATAATAGATACAGATGATATTTACTATATTATTTTTAAGTCCAATTGTAACCATACTCAGTGAATGGTTTTTATTTGTGTTTTTGTGAAATATTTTGGATTCTATATTACATTGATTGGCACTACATGTCTTAATTAATTTTTTTTATCTTTATATTATTTTGATATATGGTTAAAAAATTACTATAACATAAAAATAAATAAGATATGTAAATATAATTTTATTTCTCCTCAAGAATTCTTTTATAGTAGCCTACACATGCTTTCTCCCTATGAAAATTTGTTTGTAGAGAAAAACGGCGTTTAACCTACAAAATAATTCATACCATGTTGTCACAAATTTTTAATTATTGAGAAAGTAAATATATTTTAGCCTACAAATACTATTTCCCCACACAATTTTTTTTGTAGGAAAAAGCAAGATTTAGCCTACAACATAATTCGTAGGGAAAAAAGATATCGTTTCATGGACAAAATTAACTTAAGCATACGTCAAGGGAAAACTTACGTGACGTATTGTATTTGTCTACAAAAGGTTCATAGGGAATAACTTTTGCCCACAAATTTCAAATTTTTGTAGGCTAAAGTCTATCCCCGGTTCACCACCCTCCTCTAGTAGCCATTCCTCGTAGTCTCTATTATAAAATCTACAAAAGAAGAAGAAAGAGAAAATCGAAGTCTACAAGGTATATTTGATTTACCCACTTATAACGTTAATGTACAACTATTAGAACGTTTTCAACTTTTTTGTAATTGTAAGATGAGATTTCATGTGTTAAAAAAAAAAAAAAAAGTTTCATATTTGAACAATGTTGTTTGCTAGCGTTCACCTAAACAAATTATATGAAAAAATAATGCTATTTAACATCATTAATTCTACAACAATTTAGGCAACACAAAATGATATAAACTCAATTAAAGGTGGATTTATGTGACCTAGTGATATTGTAACACTTATGATACTAAATAACATTATTCTATTTAGAAACAAAGGCAAAAACGAAAAAGAAAGTAAAGTTGGTCTTTCTTTCGATCCCCCTAAGCTTATGAAGTACTTGAAAGTATTTACCCAAACATGCTACAATTTTTGCACGACATTAAAAGAATATTTCTGAATGCTAGCAATTACATTGGTCTTGGGAAATGGACCAATCCTCCTTCAGACCATGGATAAGAATAAATAGTGTTGTGTTGGCGATGTGAGATTCCAAAAATAATAATTTTGTTCCTTCTCATGAACTACAAGGTATGGAGTAATATTTCAGCTTGCAATATTTCGTTATGAGCACAATCAATGAAATTGGCAAACAAGAAAAAATTGTAAAATCTTTTTATTTCATTTTTTCATTTTTTTCATTGAAATTCAAACACGATGAATTTCACAATGGTATGAAGATTTCTGTCACTGCAAGCTACAACATAGAGTCGTTAAATCTTTATATTCAGTTTGGATGGATAGATCCTTATGTCTAGAAATGAACCTACTATTTGATAAGTATCATGTCATTGGAATTTCCTTTACAATTTTAAAATAAATTAATATTGAGGACAAATTTGAACGAAACAATTGACATGGATAGAAATCAGGTAAGAATCTAATTGATCATAACTAAACTTTACAAGGTGCATTAACATATTAGAGGATTATAAATTTCGACTCACGGTGGTAGAGATGGCCGAGTTGGTCTAAGGCGCAAGATTAAGGTTCTGGTCCCGAAAGGGCGTGGGTTCAAATCCCACTCTCCACATTTTTTTCTATTTTTACTTTCTGGGCTTTATTTGGATCATTCAAACTACTTGGGCCTACTCTCGGCCCATTGTAAACCAAAAACGTTGTCCCCAATCTATAAACTTACCTTTCTTGAATCTAACTATTTAATATAGAAAAATATTTATGGAAAGTTTCCACGATTAAATTTCTCTCTTTAACATTATAATTTTCCTTCTTTGAAGTAGCAGAAACCCTATATATATTCATGAAAACGATTCCCTGTTAAAGCCTCTCTCTCTACAAGGTTTTTCAGCTTTTTCCCTTACTTTCTGTATATATATATATTTTTTTATGATTATTATTATGTCTGTATTAATTCTGTTTCTGCATGTAAATCTGCAGGTTATTTTCAGAAGAATTCATACACTGACCATTGCACAAAAGCAAAACAAGAAAAAAAGGGAGTTGAAAGTTTAATTAACTAGTGAGTATATATTTCTCGTTCATAACAACTTGAATACTAGATTAGTTTTGTTTGCTGGTTCCTTGGAGCATGCGTTTCTAGTATAACTACTTTAATATGTTGGCTATCATCAAATCGTATCGATTTTCTTTTCATCAAGGCCCGTGTGACAAAACTTTCGATAAAAGTTTTAACAAATTTTAATAAAAGTTGATTAAACGAGTTGATAAAAGGTGGGTTCCATTAGATGTATGATTAAAATTAAAGTTTAACCGGTTGAAAAGATGATAAATATTTAGCAAAGTTTTATCGGACAAGCACTAACTTTCTTTGAAGAAATTCTTGTTGCTTTTATGTATCAATTTGTAAGTTGTTTAATTTGAATTGTCATTGACATTGAATTGATGGCAGCTTTGATTGATGGCAAAGGCAAAACCCACCATTATATTGAGAGGTTTGATATCTCTTTCACTTTTGATAGCAGCCATTGTCATGTTGGTAAGCTATCAGAAGGTTGACATAATGCCCACAGGCACCAAGTTTATTGCAAGATACAGAGATTGGGACATTTTCACGTAAGTGATTTTCATACATTAATATTCTCACAATTATTGTGTTTCGAACTTCCTAATTCCATTTTTTTTTTCCCTTCCGGGACTTGATATAGGATGTCTATGATTGTTTACTTCATCGGAAGCATTTACAACTTTTCCGTCCTTTTTCTTTGTGTGGGGAGTATGCTATGGCGCCCAATCATAGTCGTGGACATGGTATGATTATCAGTTAGAACGTGTCATTTAGTACTGTATATCAAACATATCGTGAGGGGTTTACATTTTTATGCTGAATCTTTGAAAACAGATACTGATAATGATAATTGGTGGAAGCTTATCAGCAGCATGGCAAACGTTTTCTCTGATACAGAATGGAGCTCCTTATGTGGGCTGGTATCCTATCTGCAAAATAGTCCCTCATTTCTGCAGCTGTATAATTGGCTCATTAAGTGTTGCTTCAATTGGACTGGTTTTGCAACTGGTGCTGCTCCTCTGGTGTTTACATTATGTTCTTAATTTTCTTTTGTTGGTGGAGTCTCCATATTAGGGCATGTTTGGCCTCGCTTAAAAGCACGTATTTAAGTGCTTATTTAGGTCGTATGAGTCTAAATAGGCCGAAAACAACATGCTTTCAAGTTGTAACCTTCCTCCTTATTTCGGAAATATTGATGCATAAATAACCAAGAGCAGCAATGATTCGTTGGAACAATTTAGAAGTAAGCTACTCTTTGCTACAAGTGTCAAGTGAATCACTACAATCATAATTGAAGGGGTTGTAAGTTTTGATTTTACATTCAAAGTATGTTTAACTAAGCTTAAAATCCAATTAAAATTGAAAATATAGTTGTTATTGGGTCCCACTCATTTAATAAAAGTCAACAATAACGGCTAGTTTTTCAATTTTAATCCGATTTTAATCTCTATCGAACAGGCCCTCGATAAGTCAAATATTATTTTTTATAGTAAGATGGGATTTTACATTCAAAATAAGCCACTAATATATTTTAGTTGTTAACCAGAAAAAAAAAATTTAGTTTAAAACTTACTTATAGTAAACATTCATAAATTTAGCCAAACATACACTAAACTTGGTAAATCAAATAATTAGAATTTTAAATAGTTTAAAGTTCTAAAGTTAATAGCTGTGATTTATATTCAATTTAAGATAATTACATCTTATGGTTCAAAAAAAAAAAAAAAAAAATATTACATCTTAAATTGAGAATATAATTTCTCGGAAAAATCTCACTTTTGATCCACAACCTATTGCTCGAGTAGGAAAGTTGGTTCCCTATTTTTGAAAAAGAACAAGTTGCCCTCAACATTTTATTATAGTTGTATAATTCTTCTTTAAAGAACGAAAATATCTTAATCTATATCAACTCGTTATGTACTCCCCACATATCCAATTTTACGATATTAGATTTTTTGTTTCTCAACTTGAATTGATCATTAGAAATTAAAAATGAGGTGTATCTCCATGAAGATCAAGAAAAGGGAACGGCCGAACAGATGGTGTAGTTGCAACTAGATTGATGACGAGCACATAGAATTGTAACTTGTAAATACGAAAGATTATATATACAAAGTATGATATCTTGAACGTAACGATTTAACAAATATTCTCCTTTGTTTGGTGATAGAGTTCTACCATTGTTTTGTACATGTTTTCGACATATTTATGTTCAAGATGTAAGTATATTTCCATGATGCTTATCACATTAATATCAAAGTATTTATATCCAATATCAGAAAGGATGAAAATGAGCTGAGATCCAATCTGACAATATTTGAAACCAACATTCCATCCACATCTTCATTAAAAATAGTTTCTTTGAAAAATTCTTGTATTGGTATCTAGGTTTGCTTTTTCTGATTCTTATTCATGTGGAGAATTGGAGGTCTCTCTTTAATTTCCACCAACAATTTTCATTAAATATACGATTTCCATTATAATAGGGACCCAATACACAAACACGTAGAGGGTCGCCTCTCACCCCCACGCCCCATCGTCTTCAGCGCAATCCACGAAGCCACATGATGCTGTTTCATATTGTAACTAAATTTTGAAGCCTCATTGATGATTCTTGGACTTTGGCTGTCTTTGAAGTGATTTTGCTGTCATGCCTTTTGAAGAAGGGGATCTAAAGGCGCCCTTACATTCTTATGCACCCAAGGATTTCGGAAGCTCAATAGATCCAGATCAACCAAAACCCATCTCGGAATAAATATTTTATTAGCAGTATCATTTTTCATGGTTAAATCACCTTCAAGCAGAATGCAAGGAGGAAATGGGTTCTTCTATCCAATCATTGGTTTTGCAGCGTGTTTTGCTTTTATATACATGTCTTTTGGGGACCTATGGATCGGTTACAACGGAGAACCAACGATGAGTTTTGTGGAGAGGAATGGAACTCAGTTCATAGTGGATGGTAGGCCTTTTTATTTTAATGGATGGAATTCTTACTGGATGATGGACAATGCTGTGGATGAATCCACCAGACCGAGAATCAGAGCAATGCTGCAAGCTGGTGCAAAAATGGGTCTCACTGTGTGTAGAACCTGGGCTTTCAGTGATGGTGGATACAATGCTCTCCAAATTTCCCCTGGTAGATTTGATGAAAAAGTATTCAGAGTAAGGGAATTCTCCTTTTTTGCGGTCAAGTGTGTTAAAAATTTTCACATTCCTTTCTTTGGTATAAGTTAAGGGTTTCATTTTGTTTCTGTCAAACTTCACTATATAATGGAATTTTAGGATGTTTATGATGGATTATTAGTTGTATAATCCAATCTAATTCTGTTTTTAACATAATCATTGCATAATTAAGCGTTTCTTTTTGTACTATAATCTTTTCTTTTTAAAGTGATTCAAGATTTGACCTTTCTTTGGTATAACTAAGGGTTTCATTTTTTCTCAATAAAAAGTTAAATATATTGTGGAATTTTAGGAATTTTATGGTGGGTCAGTGACTTGCCAATCATTTAATAGCTGTAGGTTGGATTATTAACTGTTATGCTAATCTAAATAGATTTGTTTTGGCGGGTTTATCTTTGTTTTAATGTATTCAACTGTTCTTGATTTTCGCTCACTCTACATAGAAAGTTCAAGAATATTTGGACTCCCAAGAACTTGCTGATGTCTTGATTGAGTGTTTGTGTGTGTTTTCCCTTGATCAAGTGTATAGTTTTTGGCTGATTCCTAATAATGGCCCGCCAATTGTTAAATCTGTTGGTCTGTTTCTTTTTCTGTCAGTTGCATTAATTGAGTTACACGGTCCATTCTGTGAACTCATTTACTCTAGTTTTCCTTATTTGGCACTTATAATTCGATGCTCATATGTACCATGGCAGGCTTTGGATCATGTAATTGCAGAAGCCAGGCAAAATGGAATAAGGCTAATACTGAGTTTAGTTAACAACTTGCAAGCATATGGTGGAAAGACTCAGTACGTTAAGTGGGCATGGGAAGAGGGTGTTGGTTTAAGTTCTTCTAATGATTCATTCTTCTATGATCCATCAATTCGGCATTATTTCAAAACTTATGTCAAGGTAATCTTATTATCTTATCCTAACTTTTTGAGCAATCTTTGAATCGATAGTTTTCTTGGGTGTGACATCAAGCATCAAATATTATCTCTAAAATGCCGATCAAGATTTTTTTTTTTTTTTTGGACTTGTTGGGCTGCCTGCAAAAAAATATGCATCATATTCTGAAGTCTTTTAGTTTTCTTTCCAAATATAGGAATTTGACTATATATATTTTATCATAAGGCTTCAACTTTTTGGATATTTATTTTCGCCTATTCCTGTCAACATTTTACTTAATATAAAAGTTCTTCTAGCTAAGAAGACGACTCTTGCATCATATAAGACATCAGCAGTGTAAGTCCATGTGATCTCTTTCTATTGCAATGTTTTTTTATCATGAAACATTTATGTGCATCCCATTCAAACCAGAGAAGAAGAGATGGATCATGTATCTTCTCGTGGCACTGACAAATTCCTATAGCTGTTTCCCTGACACTCTTTGACCAAACTAATCCATCGTAATTTCCAGAAAATGGCTTTTTGGGCATATAAATCCATTGAATGCTTGGAAACTCATTTTCTCATTTTTTTTTTCTTTTTAATTTTTTAAATCTCAAACTGAAGTAGTCCATTTTGTTCCTCTCTGCATCAATAATACAAAGGACATGTCATCATAATCTTTGCCACATAAGGAAATGAGTTAACCTTTGTTTGGCTGATTAATAAAATTTTTTGATTATCTATCAAAAAAAAGTTAACCTTTGTTCAGCACCTATTTACAATCAGTCAAACCACTTTTTATCCACATATTTTATAGGACCCACAAGTACTACCCATTTATTCACTACTATTTCTATCTATTTATAATTTAAACCAATTATAAACAACTTCCAGACATGTTTTAATTTGCTGAGTTACTAATATGGTCCTTTTTAGATGCTACGAAAATCAGACAGGCTTTTTGATAAGCAAGATGCAATAAAATGCTTATCTAGTTTTTAGATGATACTGCAAGCCCTTTTTTTTTTTTTTGGTTTTTCATGCAATTGGTAAATGTTTTACATATTCACAATGTAAAAAAGATATGTTGAAAAGAAACACTGTGAAGAGTTTCCGGTGAAGAAACATGTAATTTACAATTGCTAATATTCTATCAAATTCCACAAGTTGTAGAAGATTTGAAGGGATAATGTTCGCCTAGTTAGTACTCTGTTTCCCGAATTGAATTTCCCAAGTCAATTTCCACCTTCTTGGAGTTAACTCCAACTGTTCTCTCCAAAACTATCATTCATTTCTACTTTTTATGCATTCATTGTGATATAGAATATGCATTGAAGCATCAACGTGGAAAAATATACAATATGCACGTGCTTCATCATTCAGAGAAGTACCAGGTGAACCAAACTATGTTTTCCTATTTGGCAAGAATGGTTCATTCATTGTCATGCTTTCTATTGTCACTTGATACGCTCTTACAAAATATTAATGGCATGGAAATAAGTTAATTAAAATTCATTAGAATTCTTTCCATTGCTTTTGCACGAATCTTGAACTTCCAGTGACAAAGTGAATGTATAGGTTTACCTCATAACATTTGCATGACCAGCACGATAACAGCATTATTTGAATTTGTGGAAAGAAAACAATGATAGAAGTTCAGGAAGAAAAGAGAGAATAAACTACTCTGGCTTTTCCTCCAGTTTTTCTTGTTCCATATGGGAATGAAAATGCAAATGGAAAGAGAATAATTCTTGGCTTCCTTTTCTTCTTTTCATGCATAACTAAACGCGACTTAAAAGAGCAGGAAGAGGAGTGTCTCTTTGCTGAAATAATTTAAAACATCTTATTTGGCAGACAGTGCTAACAAGGAGGAACACATACACTGGGATTCAGTACAGAGATGACCCAACAATCTTTGCATGGGAATTGATTAATGAACCCCGATGTATAACTGATGCTTCTGGTGACACACTCCAAGTAAGTCACAAGCTTACTATCCCGTTACAGCTCAAGTATATATATGAAGGAACATATAAGATTTCAAGGATCATATTTTGAGCTTCTTTTAATCTTATTTTATTTTTACCTCTTGGACATCAAATAAACACAACTAAATATTCTCAAAACTGTGTTCAAGACAATAATAAACTGATGAACTTTGACTTTTGCATTTTGCTCTAAAAACCATCATTAGTAAGACAGGCGATGCCATGTCTACAAGTATGAGAATGGTGAATACATATTTTGTGGTCTCTCCTTTGGTAGGTAAAATTACAGCCAGAAGTGCTTTACCAATCCGAACCACATGTAACTCTTTTCCAAGCATACATTTACTAGATGGCTGTCTCCACAAATATTTAAAAGTCTTCTTCTGGCATCCTTTCCATGGAGGAACACTCTTTAAAAATATCTTTTTACGCATAATGTCCAGGCACTCTTAATTGTCGAATAAAAATCCAGATTGTTTTGGTTGACATCTGTTCATTTTGCCCGGGTTTGCTTGAATGGAGAAGGAGACTCTTCAAGTTTTGTTTTGTTTTCTCTCTCTTTTTTTATCTTTTCCTGGATGTGATATGTACTTGGTACAATTGCAGGACTGGATAGAAGAAATGTCTACTTTCATTAAATTAATTGACAATAAACATCTGCTGACTGTGGGCCTTGAAGGATTCTATGGTCCTAAAAATCCCAAAAGGTCAAATGTGAATCCAGAATTCTGGGCAGCTGATCTTGGATCTGATTTCATTCGCAACTCAAAGATCTCAACTGTTGATTTTGCATCAGTTCATATATACCCTGATCATTGGTGAGCTTATTTAATTATCTAATCATATTTTCTGTTACTGTATAATCTGTTCTGTCTGTTCGACTTCGTTATCTATCATAAATTTGATATCATATTATTCCCCAAAGATTAGAGATTCAATTTTCGAAGACAAACCAACAAAATAAAACATGAAAGAAGGAGAACATTAAAGAATTGCACTGTGATACTGCAAAAGTAAAGTTCGTTATTATTTATTACTTGTTGGAAGTTAATTGCTTTTACTACCTTTTACTTCTGGAAATTTCAGCGAGAAGGAAGAAGCAAGTTATTTGTCTCTTTGATTTCCATGCCAACTGGCCTCTGATTCTTCTCTTACCTTGATGAATTGTAAATAGCTTGAGAACTGCACATGTTTGGCTAAGCTTACAAAATTACTTGTAAGTTTATTCTTTAGTGAATAAACAAATTTTTTTGATGGTCAAAGCTGAACATAAGTTAATTATTTTGAAAGTTTTCCCAACCTTGCTGTTAAAAAAACATAGCAACGTGTGTTGAAAACAAAAATTTACTTAAAAGTAAGGTAAAGTTACTTTTATGCTTAGTCAAACATGCTCTCTTGCATTCTTCTACTTTTGGGTGAATGATTCAGCTGAGTGTTAAACCAAATTCCTTTTGGTAGGTCTCATAATCAAGATTTTGGATACCAACTAAAATTTGTCTCCAAGTGGATGCTTTCGCACATTGAAGATGGCGACAAAGAACTGAAAAAGCCTGTAATGTTCACTGAATTTGGATTGTCGACCGAGAACAAAGGATTTGACCCTTCTCAACGAGACAAATTCTATGAAGATATTCTCAATATAATATACAAGTCAGCAAAACGAAAGAAATCTGGTGCTGGAACTTTAGTCTGGCAGTTCTGGGTTGAAGGGATGGAAGAGTTCAACGATGATTTTGGGATTGTTCCATGGAAGAGACCATCAACATATAAACTGTTTACGGAACAGTCTTGTCGGCTGGCAAGAATTCAAGGAATTTTTCCTTCACAAAAGGAGCATTTGAAGAAATTGTGCAGCCAAAGATGGTAAAGATATTAATTTTTCAGATGCAATTAATTATCTCAGTAAGAGAAATCTGTTTGCGTCTTGGTTTTGATTGTTCAAGTCAGGTCATTGAACTTGTCATATTTATATTAATATAGGTTTATAATGTCATCATATTTATGGCATCTGCTGATTTTTCTGCTGCACAAATATTTAGAAACTATTTTTAAATGCATCTAAATGGATCTTTGCTTAATAATTGAAAGGTAAAAGTAATTTTTCAGAAAAAAGTGACTTGGGAATTTATAAGATTCTGTAAAGTAACTTCGAAACCTTGTTGCGGAAATTCACGTCGATTATTTTGTTGAATTATACTCGTTGACAGAGTAGAATGCAAAAAACAGAGGATCATTATTTCGGACAATCAACTTTGTGGGCTTTGACAAATATTCCCACAAATTATGGTTCTCTTTCCATTTGCAGATATTGTCCTTGACACCATTATCCAACCAAGAAAATGTCTGATAATCTACAGTGGATTCCAAATGGTTCTCTCTGATCTTCATCTACTTCTGTCTTCCAATATATTTAATCCCTTGAATTTATCTTCAATTCTTTCAATTCCTCCTGTGTTAGTTTCTAGGGGAATGCCACACTGACATTCATTCTTACTCTTTCAACCGATACAAACTTCTCCATTGGAAGAACACTTTATCCTCAATCAATCCCCACTAGACCTCCAAATTCATCCAACTCCCTCTCTCTCTCTCTCTCTCTCTCTCTCTGTATCCTAACCATCTCCATGGGCATGCTTTCGCCTTCTTTTCGTGCCTTCGACGGGCATAAATGGCACGAATTCTGCTCAATACCTTGATCTGCTCAATTTTATGAACGATGTCGACTCAAAAAACCATGTCTTTGTAGTCAAGTTTGATGTGTTCAAGAACGAAGAATTCAATAATCTTAAATGACAGTTATGTTGGTATCAATGTGAATTCTCTCACTGCTGGAGAAATGCACGAGGCTGGATACTGGGTTTCAAATGATTAAGACTGACAATGAGTATAACGTCTGGATTGGTATTTCGCCTACGTGCCGTATTTTCGCTAATCTATGCGCAGTCACAATTTTTGCGTTCTTGGTAAGGAGAAGCAAAAATGGAAGGGGAAAGGAAATCGAGAGCGGGAATTGGAGTACTGGCCTCATCGCATGGATTATCAAGAAATTTATTCTGCAACAAAAGGTTTCGTGGAGGAAAATGTATTCGGCAGGAGGGAAAAAATTAATGGATCAATACAAACATAGGCAATAAAGAAGTGAGAGTAGAAACCAAGAAATCGATTATAAAGCTTTTCCCCAGGTCACCAACAGGAAAATGAAAATCTTTGAATAAACTCATTCATGAAATTTAATTCATAATATAAACCAGAGCGAACCATTGTACAATATACTATTAAGAAAAACCTATAATACTGCCTGCCTCTATATCAAAATGGTAGATAAGGAATCAGATTACAGATCTTTCACGGATTGTTGGTTGCAACAGTGCTAATTATCTCCCATCAAAATCAATCTTGTGTCTTCAATATTTGGGTTACAAGACCAAGAGCAATAGTTCTCCCTGAAGATCTAAGAGACACCCGTCCCAGAGCTCTGGATTTAGCATACTCCTCTACACAAACCGATCCTTGCAAAACAACCTAAGGTAAGAAAAATACACACTTAAGGTCAGCTACTAGAGAACACTAGTGCAGATCTATCAGAAAGGAAAATACAGAGAAAGAAAAAAACCACAAAAGTTATGTACCACGAACCTCAACTACTGCATTCTGCTTTGCTAATATACACCTTGGGGACTTTTTCATAACCTTCCCAGTCTTTGGATCGAGCAGTGACAATATCTTCACAACTCTTGCAGCCTCTTTTGCGTGATGTATGTGTAATTCCAACTGCAAATGTTCATGGAGAGTAAGCAAGTAAGCTCCTACATAACACAATAACCACAGAATTAAATAAAATTTCTTTTTATGAAGAGTGAAACCTGAGAACCAATTAGAATTGGAATGGTAACATCCAGCACAAGAATCTTCAGTTCCAACTGGTTTGCAACGCGAACCGGGAAATCAGGGTGACATAAGACACCACCAGCTGTCACGCGATTGCCCTCAATACCCTGTAAAGTGACTGTGACATTGTCACCAGCTCTTGTAATGCTACAAACTTGAGAATCCCGTTCCATAGAACGCACTGTTGCTACTTCTCTCGAAGGCATAACCAGAACCTGTCACCAAAATTTACAAACAAGCGTTACAAGTGGCAGTTATTACACTCTCCACGAAGGCAAACCAGCTCTGCAGATTCCATAATACTTATGCAAGTTAAACCATAAGAAACTCTCTATCTGCTGGACAAACATTTCCACAACAAAGAACACATTCGAAGTGATTAGGAAATTTTTTCTCCCACACATAGATAAGAAAATTATTTTCAAGCCTGAAAGTTTAGTAAAATCCATATAGAAAACGCACATGCACAAGTATGCAAAATAAAGGCTTAGCTATCTCCTAGAAGAGAAAACTGCAAATACTACATACATACAACACTTTGGAGGATTCAACACACATCCCATACCCATATACTCCGGCCATTTCGAAGCGTCCGAGCATCAGAGAGCCATGTTATATAGTACCTCTCTAACACTGTGTCTATACAACCAAAAGGAGAATTTTGATAAAAAATTAGCCTGTAAAAGGCAGGCTTGAGAACAGGTGATGCTTATTAATTTGATACAGACCGAACTTGTGGATCTTTTACAGGAATACTAAGTAATGTAGTAACACAACTCATTTAGCGCTTGAAGTCAAGAAGACTGCAAAAAACATTCAAAGTTTGCAATCGTCTCAATCTTTTGCAGAAATTGGAAACAAATAAGAACCAAAGTATAGCCTAAAACAAGAAAACTAAAGCGATGTACCAACCGAAATTCTAAATAAGACTAGTGCTGCTAATCCTTTCCCTAAATAATGCACCAAAACGGCAAAATTTTCTTCAAGGATTATCATATTGGCACACACAGGTCAAGATCTTCACAGCTGACTAATATAATTGTACTCCGTCCAGTTCATAATGAATACCTCAGTAGGAACTTCAGAATTATTAAGGCAGGTATTGAAAAAGAACGCTGTTTTAAGAAATGGAGTGTAAAGTGGGCACACAAATAATTTTTTGACAAGTGTAGGAGCATATCGGGGGAGTCGGCAGTGGGGAATTGAGTGTCAAACTATTTTATAATTCAAAAGCTCATATTGGAAGAAAATAGACATCAATTCCAAACAACCCCAAATAAAAAGGCAGCATTTATTTTGGAATGGAGGGAGTAATGACTTTGAAACTAGACAGGAAAATTCTTAAAAACTAAAGGGCAACATAATCTGTACCTTGGAACCAGTTCGAATAGCTCCAGTCTCCAATTTCCCACATGCAGACACCTGACCTTGTGATTGTGATTTGATAATGTCACATATTGGCATTAGTAACGGCTTTGAATAATCTCTTGCAGGAAGTTGAAGAGAATCTATTGCATCCAATAAACAAGGTCCATGAAACCTGTAAATCAATAATTTCAGAAGTTCTCAAGATAGCATTACATATAGGTATAGAAAGCAAGAAACATTTTGAGTAAGTTGTGTGTTTATGTATTTGGTGTACATTTTCAGGACAACATATAATGCAGAATCATGCATTTAAAAGCAATCGCCTAGAGAAATAAGCATCCTTTTTCTTTCACCCGCAGACGGTGATGGAAATCTTTAGATTCATCAAGGATTGACAAATGTTGGTTTTCAATTCATGCACTTGATTTGTAGATCAATAATATCACCAATTTGTACGGACGCAGAGAAGAAACTCATATTCTTTTTTTTCTTGCATATGGTTACCATAGAGCATATGTAGAAATTAAAATTTGTTATACCATTTACATGGCAACACATGAGCCCTGCTCAAATGCAATCTGAGATTCAAACAGCCAACTTACTTTCCTTGACAATACACGTGACCATCAAGAGAAACCCCAGATCAAAAACACAACAAAAATCTGGTAGAAGTACATGTCTAAAATGCATATACATTATGACATAAAAGAAAAAATCAAATGCACAAAACCAAAAAGATTGGCATCTAACCAGAACAATCGTTTATCAGAAGGAGTTGCCACCAAATTTTGGTTTTCCATCGCACTCACTGGAATCCATAATACAGAAGAATCTTTAAAACCACACGAGCGAAGAAATGTTCCAAGTTTCTTCTTAATCATATCAAACCGTTCCTGGGAGTATTCTACTACATCCATTTTGTTAACTACAACTATAATTTGATCAACTCCAAAGCTTCTAATGAGCTGTGCATGCTCTCTTGTTTGCCCTCCAATAGCATCCAGGCCTGCTTCAAATGAACCAATTGAAGCATCTACCACCAGAATGGCAGCATCTGCTTGTGTTGCTCCAGATATCATGTTTGGAACAAAATCTCTATGGCCTGGGGAGTCGAGCAGAACGACATGATATTTCTTAGAATTGAAAAAAGCAACAGCCACAGTCATGGTTATACCCCTTTCCCTTTCTTCGGCACTTTCATCCAATGCCCAGGCAAAAGCGAAGGATCCCTTTCCCTGGTCAAAGAATAAAGCACACATTAAGGACACCAAACCTAGATGCCAGAAAAGCACAAAATACGGACGATACATTACCTGTTGTTTAGCTTCCTTTTCATACTTGTGCATCTCTTTTTGGGATATCCGTCCCAAAAGATGAAGCAACCTTCCTGAAAGTGTCGATTTCCCAGAATCAACATGACCAACCTAAGTACTTAAAAGAACATAATCAGTAGAAAAACCAGTCATATTTGAACAATTATCAAGGAGGACATTCTGATGGAAAAGGTAACTTACAATCGCAAGATTTAGTTGACTCAATTTGTCTTCTGCATGATCCGGCATCATCCATGACTCGGGTTTATATTGCAAATTTGATATGTCTTTATCCCCA